TTGAAGGGTCCCAGGTTCGATTCCGGTCAAGGATATGTACCTTGGTTGCAGGCACATCCCCAGTAGTGGGTGTGCAGGAGGCAGCTGGTCAATGTTTCTCTCTCATGGATGTTTCTAACTCTCTATCCCTCTCCCTTCCTCTCTGTAAAAAATCAATAAAATATATTTTTTTAAAAAATCCATCAAAAGAATAGAAATAAATGAATAAAGTTGCAGGATATAAAATCAACATACAGATATCTTTTGTATTTGTATATACTACCAACGAACTATCTGAAAGAAAAATGAAAACAATCCCATTTACAATTGCAACAAAAAGAATAAAGCACCTAGGAACACACTTGAGGTGAAAGACCTATACATTGAAAACTACACAAGAAATGGAAAGGTAGTCTGTGTTCATGGACTGGAAGAATTACAGTTAAAATGCCCATAATACCTAAAGCAATCTATAGATTCGATGTAATCCCAATGGCATTTTTATAGAAAAAGAAAAAAAATCCTAAAATTTGTATGGAACCACAAAAGACCCCAAATAGCCAGAGCAATCCTGGGGGATGGAGGTGGGGGGGGCACAAAAAATACCCAGAGGTATCACACTCCCCAATTTCAAACTATATTACAAAACTAATCAAAACAGTATGGTACTGACAGAAAAAGACGCACAGACCAAAAGAAAAAAGAACAATGGGACAGAATTGAGAGCCCAGAAATAAACCTACACATACATGGGGCAGTTGACATTGCACACCAGTAGTGTTATTGCTAGCTTTACCCAGTGGCCAGATAAGTTTCTATTTACAAAGTATCATACTTTAAAAAGGTCTTAGCTTGTAAAAACATGTAATAAGTAACTTCAAAATGCAACGGCTATTTAATTTTAAGGCATGCCTTTAATATTCATGTAAAACACTGTGTAATATAAAAACACAAGAATGCTCATGATCCGCCCACAATGTGTTAATTTACAACAAAGGAGCCAAGATAATACAGTGGAGAAAGGAAAGTCTCAATAAATGGTGTTAGGATAACTGGACAGCCACATGCAAAATAATGAATCTAGACCACTATCTTTGTTGTTGTGATTCCCCACCCAAGGATATTTTTCCCATTTATTTTTTGAGGGGGGTGGGGGACAAAACAGAGAGGGAGAGAGAAACATCTATATGAGATGGGCATATTAATTGGTTGGCTCCCACATGTGCCCTGATTGGGGCTGGGGATTGAGCCTGCAACCAAGGTATGTGTGCCCTTGACTGGGAATCGAACCTATAACCCTTTGGTGCGCAAGCCAATGCTACAACAACTGACTCACACCAGCCAGGCCTTGACACTATCTTATACCATATACAAAAATTCACTCAAAATGGATTTAAAGACCTGAATGTAAGACCTAAAATAATAAAATACGCCGAGACTGGTTTGGCTCAGTGGACAGAGCGTCGGCCTGCGGACTGAGGGGTCCCAGGTTCGATTCCGGTCAAGGGCATGTACCTGGGTTGCGGGCATTTCCCCAGTGGGGGATGTGCAGGAGGCAGCTGATCGATGTTTCTCTCTCATTAATGTTTCTGGCTCTCTATCTCTCTCCCTTCCTCTCTGTAAAAACTCAATAAAATATATTTTAAAAAAATAATAATAATAAAATACATGAAAGAACACATAGGTAATAAGCTTCTGAACAATCAGTTTCAGTGGTGCTTATGTGAATTTGACTTCAAAGACAAGGAAAACAAAAATAAAGAAATGGGACTATATCAAACTAAAGAGCTTCCTCACAGCAAAGGAAACGACCAAAAATACAAAAAAGGCAACCAACCAAATGGGAGAAGATATTTGCAAATGATACTTCTGAATAAGGCATTAGTATCCAAAATATATAAAGAATGCACGCAACAACAACAAAAATGATTAAAATATGAACAGAGGATATGAATAGATATTTTTCTAAGCAAGACATCCAGATGGCCAACAGATAAGAATATATGTTCAACATCAATAATTATAAAAATGCAAATCAAAACCACAAATAGATATCACCTCATACCTGTTAAAATGGCTATTATAAAAAATGCAACAGCCCTAGCCGGTTTGGCTCAGTAGAGAGAGCGTTGGCCTGCGGACTGAAGGGTCCCAGGTTTGATTCCGGTCAAGGGCATGTACCTTGGTTGCGGGCACAATCCCCAGTGGGGGGTGTGCAGGAGGCAGCTGA